CATCACAGCTCACAGCAACCTCCAACTCCTGAGCTCAAGTGAGTCTCCTGCCTCCGCCTCCCAAGTAGCTGGGACCATAGGCGCCCGCCACAACGCCTGGCTGTTTTTTGGTTGCAGCCATCGTTTGGCGGCCCGGGCTGGATCCAACCCGCCACCTTAGGTGTATGTGGCTGGTGCCTTAGCCACTTGAGCCAGAGGCATCAGCCTATTTTTTTTTTGAGACAGAGCCTCAAGCTGTTGCCCTGGGTAGAGTGCTATGGCATCACAGCTCACAGCAACCTCCAACTCCTGGGCCCAAGCGATTCTCTTGCCTCAGCCTCCCAAGCAGCTGGGACTATAGGTGCTTGCCACAACGCCTGGCTATTTTTTGGTTGCAGTTGTCATTGTTGTTTGGCAGGCCCGGGCTGGATTTGAACCCACTAGTGCTGGTGTATGTAGCTGGTGTCTTAGCCACTTGAGCTACAAGCGCCAAGCCTCCATCTTTTTTTATGGCTCCTAGTATTCCTTGGTGTACATATACCACAATTTGTTAATCCATTCATGGGCCGATGGGCACTTGGGCTGTTTCCATGTCTTGGCTATTATGAATTGGGCTGTAATAAACATTCTAGTTCAAATGTCTTTGTTGTAAAATAATTTTTGATCATCTGGGTGTATACCTAGGAGAGGAATTGCAGGATCAAAAAGTAGGTCTACTTTTAGTTCCTTGAGTGTTCTCCAAACTTCTTTCCAAAAAGGTCGTATTAGCTTGCATTGCCACCAGCAGGGTAGAAGCGTTCCCTTCTCTCTGCATCCACACCAAAATCTGTAGTTTGGGGATTCTGTAACGTCGGCTAATCATACTGGAGTTAGATGATATCTCAAAGTGGTTTTGATGTGCATTTCTCTGATGATTAAGGATGATGAGCATTTTTTCACATGTTTGTAGGCCATGTGCCTGTCTTCATCAGAGAAGTTTCTGTTCAAGTCTCTTGCCCACATAGAAATTGGGTTATTTGGTCTTCTCTTACTGATTAGTTTGAGTTCTCTGTAGAGTCTAGTTATCAGACCTTTGTTGGAAGTATAACCTGCAAAAATCTTCTCCCATTCTGAAGGCTGTCTGCTTGCTTTACTTACTGTGCTATTGGCTGTGCAAAGGCTTTTTAGTTTGATCAGATCCGAGTAATGTATTTTTGGCGTCTCTTCAATTGCCCGGGGGGGTCCGCCTCATAAAATACTCTCCCAGGCCAATTTCTAATTTCTTTTTTTTTTTTTGAGACAGAGCCTCAAGCTGTCCCCCTAGGTAGAGTGCCGTGGCACTACAGCTCACAGCAACCTCCAACTCCTGGGC